AGAGCGCAGAGCCCCAGAAACAGGCATCCTGCCTCCCTCGTTTCCCAGGTAAGGAAAGCAAAGCACAGAAGACAAAGGGCTTTTCCCTCTCAATGAGGCAAAGTTCTCATATGCACCGTGTTCATTATTCTGTCAAATGACTGTTAATTACATATGTCAAAACTTTTATAGCTTCAGACTGAAAATTAGATTCAGTGTGTTAAAGCCAGTGTTTAAGAACAGACCCAGTGGAGTCACCTTTGTGAGGCACCATCAAGACTTCACCCCTGGCCCAGCTACACGGTGAGCCTCCCCCGGAGCAGAGCCCGGAGGCAGCCAGCCTGGAATTCCCGGTGACAGCCGGAGGCCATCTGCCTGAGAAGAGGCCTCTGCCCTTCCGGGAAGAAAGGGGGCCCTGCTTGAAATGACCCTTCCTTTTCTTTTGCTAATAACGCTCTGGTCTGGCCCAGTTTCTGTCTATAACACCTTCCATTTGTACCTGTCCTCAGAAAACCTCTCTGCCGGCAGACAGGACACACCCTTGTCAGGATTGGACAGAGACAACCAGGTCTTCTGGTCTACCTCCTAGAGCAGTGGTTCTCAACCTTCTGACCCTTTAAATACAATTCCTCATGTTGTGACTCAACCATAAAATTATTTTCGTTGCTACTTCATAACTGTAATGTTGCTACTGTTATGAATCGTAATGTTAATATCTGATATGCAGGATGGTCTTAGGCGACCCCTGTGAAAGGGTCGTTCGACTGCCAAAGGGGTCGCGACCCACAGGTTGAGAACCGCTGTCCTAGAGGGAGGGCTCTCACAGAAGCTCCCGGGTTCTGCCTCGAGGAGCTCTAGCAAAATCCTGGCCTCCTCTGAGTCTCAGCTACGGCCAGGGTGCCTGGCCCCAGAGGCAGGGGGTGTGGAAAGTCACACGCTCTACGGGGGCGGCCTCGCCCACTTCTGGCCACAGCAGGCTGGCTGAGAACTGAGGCCAAACACCCCAAAAGGAAGCTGTCCAGGCCCCTGAGGCCTGCCCTGCCCTGGAGGGTGACTAGCCTTCTGTGGGAACAGAGGTAAGGTGGCCCTGTGATCCTTGCCGCCTGGTGGCCACACCTGCCTCTGTGTGGAGACGGGAGCTGTGACTTGCCTCTGACCAATAGAACACGGGCAGCGTGATGGATGTCACGCTGGTCATGGCGTTGCGTTGGCAGGTGCGTCACCTTATGACTGGCAGCTGTCATGGCAGAGCTGCCTGTGGGGAGGCCACAGCAAGGCCCTGCTGTCCACAGCCAGCCAAACACTGGAACCCTCACTTCCACGCCCGAGGAAAGGGGTTCTGCCAGCCACTGCGGAACTGGGAGCGGTGCCTCCGCTTCAAGCCTTCAGGTGGGAGCCCAGCCCACCGGCGCCCTGGCCGCAGCCCAGATGGGCTCAGCCGTGCCAGGACCGCGACCCACAAGATGTTGAGATAATAAATGTATGCTTTTTAAGTCCCTACAGTTGTGCAGCAGCAGGTAACTAATACGCCCACCTCTCGAGGGTGTCCAATGTCAGAGGCTGCCCCTGAGATGCCCAAGGAACCAGCCAGTGCTGACAGCAGCAGAACCCATGCAGCACGTGGGCACAGCGGGGGACGCATGGGCACAGCGGGGGGCTTGGACACAGTGGGGGCGCTGCGTGGCACAGCGGGGGGCGTGTGGGCACAGCGGGGGCACAGCAGGGGCACGTGGACACAGGGGGACGCTGTGTGGCACAGCGGGGGCACGTGGGCACAGCAGGGGGCTTAGACACAGTGGGGGCACTGCATGGCACAGCAGGGGGCGTGTGGGCACAGCAGGGGGGCACAGGGGCACAGTGGGGGGC